TAACAGGTATTTATTGAATTCCTATTGTGTACCTACAATGTACTAGCTCTTTGGGGAAATAATAGTGACAAAAGAGATACAGCCATTGTCCTCAAGTTGTAAATAGATCACAAAGGTAAACATTAATTTCAATTGTGATGTGTGGTGTGGAGGATTGTAGAGGGTGCTATGAGGATACTTGATGGGGTCAGTGATAGGGGAGGGAATAGGGAGAGGCTGTCCCCAGCTGTCTTGGAGTAATTGGGCAAAGAGTTACAAGGCTGTCTTGGAGTTAATTGGGCAAAGAGCTACCAGTGGCCATGTGGGAAGCCTTGAGACCTTGACACAAGCAGGAGCTTGTGTATTATACTGTATTACAGTGACTGGGGGTGGGGAAATTGGGTGAGGTAAAATCCTGTACTGCTCCTTGACTAGTTTGCTTCTCAGAACATGCAATCACCTCCATAGTTTGCATCTTATTTTCCAGCTGTATGTCAGAGCCCAGTTTCCTGTCTTCAAATATATGGCTAGACTACTTGGTACCCACAGGATGGGATATGGGGATAGGAAATGGGATAAATATCTAAATATGAGACCTTATCAGCATGTGGTAATTTGCAGTGGGCAGTCAATTCAATGCCAAGTGCCAGTATTGTATCTCATCATGTGTGTCTCTGGTTTAACATTGTTTCATCCTTCCCTGCTTCAAGCCTGTTGTTAGCTTCCAAGGATACAAACATGTATAGACTCTTTCCTTCCATTGTGGTACTTCAGTATGTCACCTGCCTGCTACTTAAGATGCTACAGAGGTTAGGTTTGTTTTTTAGCTGTGGGGCTTGAACTCAGGGCCTGGGCTGTTTTGCTCAAGGCTAGTGCTCTATCACTTTGAACCACAGTGCCACTTCTGGTTTACTGGCAGTTCTTTGGAAATAAGTCTCTCACAGCCTTTCCTGCCCGGGCTGGCTTTGAACTGAGATTCTCAGATCTCAGCCTCCTGAGCAGCTAGGATCACAGGCATGAGCCACCGGCACCCAGCCAGTATTTTTTATTTAGCATGTGCTAGGGTTACAGTGGTGAAAAAGTAGGGGCATGATCTCTGCCCTCTTTAGCTTAAACTCCCAGAGAAGGGAGAAAGGGTTGGGACTGTGAGACTCTTAACAGTAGAGGCCAGGGGTATTGGTCTGGTGGGCCGTGCCAAGGACTTGGGTTTTTCTGAGAGTGGGAAGCCATAGGAGATTTTCAGTCAGGGAATGGTCTCATTAGGTTTGTGTTAGGAAAGAACTGGCTCTTCAGTGGGGACCCAAGATATCGATTGAGCGCTATTTACCAGGTAGGATTGCCAAACAAGGAAGAAGGGGATTCTCCTCATTTCTCAGTTTCCTTGCAAATCACAGATACTTGAAATCCACAGTGGAAAACATTTTTAGGAAGGAGCTTCACAAAATGGGGAGTCTCCCAAGGTAGAAGTTTAGCAAAGATTTAGTACTGGAGGGAAAGTAGGAAAGGGAGAAAAATAGATCCTGCTTCCCACACCGGAAATGGGAGTAGATGGTCAAAATGATAGTTCTTATCTGGAATTTGAGCTGGGGGATGAGGGGGCTGTACTTGGTCATGTGGTCTAGCCACTCCTAGTTATTAAACAAACATAATGGAAAACATGAGCTGGGCACAAGTGGCTCATGCCTGTAATCCTAGCTAGTCAGAAGGTTGGAATCTGAGGACCTTGGTTCAAGGCCAACCCTGGCAGGGAGTTCATGAAGCTCTTATTTCCAATTAAACAGCAAAAAGCCAGAGTGGAGCTGTGGCTCAAGTTGTAGAGCATAGCTTTGGGCATAAAAGCTCAGAGACAGAGTACAGGCCCAGAGTTCAAGCCCTAGACCTGGCACAAACGTGAAGAAGTGATATTTAGGCTTACCCAAACAAAACTCAGGTAATATTAGTGTAAATATCAGAACATGCATTTGCCAGCATTCCCTCCAATTTTGTCTCTACCTCTTATAGTTCTTTTTTTTTTTTTTTGGTTGGTCTTGGAGCTTGAACTCTGGGCTTGGGCGCTGTCCCTCAGCTCTTCAGCTCAAGGAGAGCACTCTACCGCTTGAGCCGTAGTGCCACTTCCGGTTTTCTAGTGGTTTATTGGAGATAAAAGTCTCACGGACTTTCCTGCCCGTGCTGGCTTTGAACCGTGCTCCTCAGATCTCAGCCTCCTGAGTAGCTATGATTACAGGCGTGAACCACTGACGCCCCGCTTTCTTTCTTTTCCTTTTTTCTTTTGGTTGGTCATGGGGCTTGAACTCTGGCTCTGGGCACTGTCCCTTAGCTATTCAGCTCAAGACAAGTGCTCTACCTTGAGCCACAGTGCCACTTCGGTTTTGTGGAGGTTAATTGGAGATAAGAGTCTCATGTATTTTTCTGCCCAGGCTGGCTTTGAACTGTGATCCTCAGATCTCAGCCTTCTGAGTAGCTGGGATTACAGGTGTGAGCCACTGGCGCCCAGCTATAGTTATTATAACTTAACATCTGAGGAGAAGATGGTAGGTA